TTCAGGTCCATATTTGATAATAAAGTGAAATTTTCAAATAACAAGAAGAAATCAGGTCAAAACCCTAAAGTAAATCTTCATCCTGGATGGTCACTTGCCATTTATGACACGAAAATGACAAGGAGTCAGTCCTTCCTTCAGGCAATGTTGTAATATTGTCAAAGGATATTATTTAAGTGAATAGGCCTACACTTAAAATGAAACCATCTTTCCTAGCTCCTCAAGAGGTTGAGATCTGAGGATCGTGGTGTGAAGCCAGCCTGTGTAGGAAAGTCAGTGAGAGTCTCATCTCCAGTAAACCACCAAAAAGCCAGAAGTGGAACTATGACTCAAGTGATCAAGTGCTAGCCTTAAGCTAAAAAAGCTCAGGGGCAGTGTTCAGATCCTGAGGTTCAAGCTCGTTGTATATTGAACTGATCTATTAATGACTAATAGAATAATTCTGTTTTATAATTTAAAAATGTAAAAATTTTGGGGCTGGGAAGGTGGCTCAGTGGTAGAGCGCTTGCCTTGCATGCCTGAGGCCCTGGGTTCGATTCCTCAGCACCACATAAGCAAAAAGAAAAAAGCCAGAAGTGGCGCTGTGGCTCAAATGGTAGAGCGCTAGCCTTGAGCTGAAGAGCTGAGGGACAGTGCCCAGGCCCAGAGTTCAGGCACCACGAACAGACCCCCCCCCAAAATGTAAAAATTTTGTCACTCGAAAACAAAGAATTTCATTTGTATCTCTAGGAGACACATGTCTGTCAAGCCAGCATGCAGTACTAATGCCCATACATGTTCCTATTGTGGGGATGTGAGTGCAGTTCTATTGCCTACTCTAGGGAGTGTGTAAAGAAGACATGGGGAGAAATGCAGTCATGAACAGCATTAATAACCTGAAATCTCACAGCCCAAGAAAGGCATTTATCCTATCCCTAAATCAATGAGACATTCTTAGCATTCTTAACTGAGAAGGACTTCCCAGAAAGAATGAAGATTTATGAAAAACACTTACTAGCTATCAATTTGGAGGCTTAAAACATGTCTGCAGTTCACACTTGTGAGAAAGTTTTCCCATTCCTCCAACGACAACTCAATTTACAAAAACATTGCACAAGTTAGTAGACAGCATAGATGGCAGGCATCATTCAAATTTACCAACATCTGTCTTCGTTGTTCATGCTTCTGCCCATTAAACCATGACCCACTTACATATCTCTAGATACTCATTAGCTCATGCAAATAAGCCCCATAAACTCAGTGTGTTTGTGGCCATAAATTAGGCTCTCTCTGTGTATATATCTTTTCTGCTTCCTGTCCTCTCTTTAATTTCAGCTATTTTCTTCTGCTCTCATCTTGGTCAGGCTCTGAACACTTGTGTGTTCCACTGTTATCTCTTCCAATTTTTAGGTACCATATAAGTAAATGTCCTGTCCTGGACATTCAGCATAATGATCAACGCACCTTAGTCCCTGGAGGTGGTCCAGCAGGCTTCCTGAGTCTCTCAAGTTCACCTCACTTGGAGGGAGGGTGTCAGCAAATTCCTCAAACCCAAGTGCATTAGATTGGCGGGAAATGTTAAGGAGAGGGCTTTTCCCTGTTGATTCACGGAAATGAATTCTTGACTTTGTACCATTATGATCCACCACTGGTTTGAACAACACTGAATTTCTTGGCTTTCTTATATGAAAACTATACCAAGCACCGTAATAAGGATTGCAAGAGGCATGATTTATAGCTCTCTGCATATACAAGATTTAATTCTGCCATTTGCACAAAGGGCTGTCCATTGTGTGAGCAAAGTCAATACCAATAATGAAATGTAGACTGAAGGGCTAAATCAATTCAATAAAAAGCAATAGAAAGACTAGGGACTGAGTAAATTTGGAAAAGCTAGCACCTGCAAGATTAGTATTTGGACAACAGGTAATTACAAAAATCAATACCTGTGTATGAAAACATGACAGGCAGCCATCCATCACAAAGGGAGGACCAATTCCTAATAGTTTGTGCTCTGAGGTAGGAGGAAAGAACCAAGCAGGTTTGTGCAGAATCCTTATTGTAAGTGTGTGTGCACTTACAAGCATGTGTGACTTCAGTGGGCACAGCAAAGCCATCTCTGCACTCTTGATTCTGGGCTTTATTGTAGCTTTTGCCCTTCCTGTGTCCACATGGCTAACCTGACCTCAATCCCCTGTTCTTAGCTCTGTGTCAGGCACACCTTGAGTCCTATACCACTTCTGCCTTCAGGCCCCAGGGATGTCCGTCGTGGGGTACCGCTGGAGGGTGACGGGGGAGTGCTACAGATAATAGAAACCATCGATTGCTCAAGGACCAGCTGTCTGAGGACCCTTCAAACAGTAAAAGGCAATACAGACAACCTGGAGAGCATCCACACCAAAGCAAAGCAAAATGAACTAAAACAAGCTCTCCCTCTCACACGGACATACAGGCACATGACACACATGTATGCATACACAGTGACGCATCTGTCTATTCATGAAACAGTAACTTAAGTGTCTCAACTGAGTTTCTGTCTAGAAAGACTGTCAATGAGTCGATATTCTACCATTACACAGTCTGCGTGCATTAGCTGTAGGGACTCTATCAGCATATCTGTTTTAAAGATAAGAACAGAGGCTCTGACAGACAACAGGCTAGGTCCAGAACACAGGCTGGGGTGCAGCACCGGAAGTGGCCTGGCTGCATAGTGCATGTGGTGATCACCACCGTCCATTTCCTGTGCAGTGTCTGTCCAGCAGAGAACAGAGAACAGAGAACAGTGATTGGTACCACGCCGCAAGCTCTTAGCCAGCCTGGTGAATGGCCTGAAGGCTGGAGTATGGAGCACAGGTACAGCTAGTTAGACAAGTGCTTTCAGACTTCCTCTGGCTGTGCTGCCTGTACAGCCTAACTACGTGTCTCTCCAAAATAAAGCCAGGTTCCATTTCTCTGATACCTGGTTTCTGACCATTGAATGGGTGTCACCTCCTTCTGCTCTTTCTTCTCCTCCTCTGAGTCAGTCACCTGTCCGAAGCTCAGTGTGTAGATGAGAACCTGCTACCTCACAAAATCCTAAGCTAGAATTCCCCGTGGAGTGATTTTTGGGCTGCCTGGGAGCGACTCCAGTCCTTCCCGCAGGCTTAGCCGTGTTTGCCCCTGCCTCTTCCACCCTCCAGGAGGGTGACATATGCCAGCCACTCCAATACCACACCACGTTTGGGGGGGATCATATTTCACTTTGGGGGCTGAGGGGACTAAAGTCAGCTTACACCAAGAGTGGAATGAAATGCTGTCATGGTCCTTGGAGAAACTCTCAAATTTGCCATTAAGACATTATATATTGGCAAAGACACCTGCATCAGGAGTCAGTTCTCTATTTTACATGGTCATTTGATTTCCTTTAAAAATGAAGAAATTGTATGATGGCTTCCATTTAGGAAATAAGTCACTTACTGTCATTCCATGTCTTTTTAGCTCATTTTAACAATCTGTTTATAGATAGATGCATCTATAGATAGACAGATATGTCTATCATCTCTATAGATATGTCTATAGTCTATCTATCTGTCTGTCTGTATCTGTCTGTCTGTCTGAACATCTGAAATTTACTCTCACTGGCTGATGTTTTTCTTTATCCAAATTCAGCACTATTGGCATTTGAAGATGAATAGTTCCAGGTTTTAGGGTTGCCCTGTCCATATTATGGGCAACACTCCTGACTTCTATTTGCTAGATACCAGTGCCCTCACCATAAGTCCCTCTGATTGCGACAAACCAAAACATTCTCATGCCTCAAATGTGACTTAGGGACAAAAAGCATGCCTGGCTGAAAACCACGGATCTCTATTTTTTCCACAAAGAAATATGACTTTTCTGAGAACAGGTAGAAAGGAAAATCTTTGTAGTTCCAGTGTATGAAATACATCTCTTTTTTTCTTTTTTGGTCGGTCGTGGGGCTTGAACTCTGGGCTTGGGCTCTGTCCCTCAGCTCTTCAGCTCAAAGCGAGTGCTCTACTGCTTGAGCCACAGTGCCACTTCTGGTTTTCTAGTGTTTTATTGGAGATAGGAGTCTCACAGACTTTCCTTGCCCTGGCTGACTTTGAACCATGATCCTCAGATCTCAGCCTCCTGAGTAGCTAGGATTACAGGCGTGAGCCACTGGCGCCCGGCCATCTTTTTTTTTTTTTTTAAACAGAAAAGATGAAAAGTTGCTAGGCTAAACTCAGCCCAATGCAAGCAAGCAAAAGCTATAATAAATTGCAATTAGAGCTCTCAATCTCTTCTTTCTACTCTTAATTTAGACTTATCCTCAAAATAGCCATATGCTATGGAGATGACTTGTCAGAGTTTATAAAATCTTCTTTAAAAATGTGATAACTCTGCTGCTTGCATGCGAATGCTCGGCCCTTACATGAATAAACCCTGAGCTAGCTTTACTGACCACAGTGATTTGCCAGCCATATCAGACATCACAGTGCATTAGGTACTTTTCCAATAGCAGAACATGTTAAAATTTCTTTATGCGACGAACATAAATAATGGTCATATGAATGGATCACACATATGCACATCATATCCACAACCACTTTTGTAAATTACTCACTAGGCTTTGTTCAAAGGCAAAGCTAGTAACTGTCTAATATTCCCATCTTAGCAGTGAGTTCTCCAAGAAAAGATAAGCCCTCATAAACACTGACCAAAACCGGAGAAGATAACAACTGATGCTTTTCATTGTTTTTAATATTTAGGAGCAGGAGTGAAATAGGGTAGAGGAAGACAAATGACAGCAAGGCACTGATCCTGGAACACATCTCTGGTCTTGGAAGGGTGCATGTGCAGGCATGATGATTAATGAGATAAATGTACTGTGCTTCAGTCTCCAATACAGAACTAAGTGTTAACACTGTGATTTAAGTTTCCCTAAATCTTTTGCTTTTCAACACTCCTCTAAAAATAGCAACAACCCTCCAAGTGGTTATAAACCAACACCATTCATTTGTAATCTGAGTAACACTTACCTCAGCTTTAATTTTGTTGTCTCCAAAACAGAGGTGCTGTAGATAGGCTGCAGCGTTGGACTGGACAGACGGAAACTGATGTTGCAACATCTGGATCACTTCGGGCAGTTCCGGGTCTCTCCATCCAAATTCTCTGAACAAAAAGGAAAAGAAAAGCACATGAGGAATAAACAAACAAATAAATAAACAAGTAAGTAAACTGTAGCAGACTGCCAGCAGCTGGCAAGTCATTCATCAAGCACATGCAACACTTTATAAAGAAAAGGTCCCAGTATTTTCAAGCATGGGCCCATTTAAGAGGATGTTGAAAAGCTCTCCTTTCACATATCGTTTTTAAGGGCATACACACATACATTCACATTTACTGATTATGCAGATTATATATAAGTGCATCAAAATTCCATGCTTCTGAAGCTTATGACAAACAACTGACATATGACTTTTTAATGATACGTACACTTTTCATTCAGGCTTAAATGGACAATTAAGAAGCCATGTTTTTCTAGTATATTATTTAAACTGACAGACTAATATGTACCATTTAGACTAATTTTCAAATAGGAAAAATGAAACTAGATTGGAACAATCCAAAGTGTTACAAGAGCCTGTGATGTTGGTATTATTATTATTGTTGTTGTTATTGTTACTGTTAATTCCATACGCTCTGCTGACATAGATCAAGATGCATTATGTTCATAAACTGCTTTGTTAAATGGTGACTTCGTACAACTACTTCAAGATAATACTTTTTTAAAATAAAACTTATGTAAAGGTAAGATAATACTAATTTAAAAACCAACACAGACCAAACCTAACATTGCAATAAATAAATAAGTAAATAATAAAGAACATATTTTTTAAAAGACGAGTGAATAAAACCACAAAAGAATAAATAGATTTCCTCAATGATTCTCTGGGGATAAAAGCAAAGCAGTAAGATACCTTTCTTTCTAAAAGGAAAATATTTATTGAACGAGCAGGCTTGTTCATATACTGTGAACAAACTTTATATAAGGTACCTTCTTCTGTATCTCACTTTTCTACCTGAGCTACTGTAAAGAACATACATATTAATAAATATGGCATAAAAATTTAACTCTAATTGAAACAATAGTTTGTTCATAGCATTATGTTCACGAAAACACTTCAATGCAATCCCCTAGCTCAACAGGACCAACTTTCAGTTCTATTCTTGTAACAAGGATCCAATTTTTAACAGAGAAATAAAAAAAGCAGCTTCTGAGGCCACAGATAAAAACCTGACCCCACTAGCCACAAAGGGTGCTATTTATCTGAAAGATAGGCTAGGGGAGAAACGAAATGGCTTCTCAGAAACCACTCCTACTCCTTGTGAAATTACGCCAAAGCATAGATCCTACTGTTGCAGGTCAATACTGTCAGGTGGGCAGAGGAGCCATGAAGAATTGGGTGGACAAGGCCCAGTCAAAGGTTAAAAGTTTCCTCGTAGATTCTAACCTGTTCTCTTTATCTTCCCTTTATCACATCCGGTGTGGCTGTCAAAAAAATCCTGCAACATCTTTGTGCTTTGCAACAGCAGTCGAGGACGATAGGAAATAGGATGGCTCTTGAAGTGGCTTAGTTTTTATTGGAAAGATAAAGCATTCGACTTCATGTGCAGAAAGCATTTAATAAATTTACATGCCTGCCACCTTAGACTATCACATATACATTTTTCCAAAAGACGTATAGCGCAATAACACACTTGCTCGAAACATAGCTAAGTGACTGCTGATACGGAATCCTTCTTGCCTATGTAATTTCAGTAGGAACCAATTAAGCAATAAAAAAGTAACAAGCAGGTCTTCTTTGTAACTTAATTTCCTTTGGTTACATGATTTCAAACCTCAGCAACACAGAGGTAGTATAGTTCTTCTCAGAGTAGCAACTTCTAGAATTCTTTTCTTTCATCAAAGTAAATCATAATCAATAGGTATTTATAAATTAAACTTGAAGGTTCCACACAATGACACTGAATGGCTATGAGAAATGTGGGTAAGCTTATGTTTCTGGAACGCAATTAGGACAGAATTCACTTCTGACTATTTTATTGACCAGATAGAGAGTTATTGACCAGTCAGGTAATGACATAGGGCGAAGACCGAGAGCATCTTTTGAACAAGAGTTTAAGGACCCTTTGTACATATGTATGATCACACATAGACACCAAACTCATATACGACAGATGGACATTCCAAAGGATCCTGAGTCCAGATGTCAGCCAAGCATCGCAATGACCAGTCAAGAGAGTGGCTGTTTCCAGTTACCTTTTCCTCTGCAAAGCCCTGCCCCCTCCATCCCCACTTCTGCCTTCACAGACCTACAACCTCATCTTCACTCCAATGACTGATCCCCAGGCTCTCTCACCTTACTGCTTTCCCCACACGGTTCCAAGAGGAACCGCACCCCTGCTCAAAGCCTCAGTGGATTCCACTGTCTTAGGACAGAGACCAAGATGGCCTCTAGTGCCTTGCTGGACCTGATCACTCCTGCCTGACATTGGCTGGCACAGAGGCGTTTGCTGAGTGGATGCACACTGAGGTAACGGTGGCTCGCAATAACAGATATGGCTGGCACACAGTATAGGCCTGCTAGAAATGTCAGATCCTAACTTGATGGAGAAGAGAACAATGAGAACTAAGAAACACGTGGAATTTCCCAAGCAAGCTGAACTCATAACTCTGGTTTCTTATTGGGTTTCCCTTCAGAAATGTTAATGGATCTGGGGAATATGCAAATGTAACCTTTTTCCATTAAAACTTGTCGCATAGACCAACAATATTGTGACTGAACCTTCACTCATGTGTGGACTGTCTGTGTCCTTAAAACCACAATGCTCAGCACAGGGCTCAACAGCAAGCAGTTTGCAGTTCTTTGCTATGTGGCGCTGGCATGAAAGGCATTGGGAGCGTGGACTGTCGTAAGAGTCATAACCAGGTTTTCCTAAGGAAGACAGCCAAAGAAAACCCAGGGGCCTCTCAAATTTAACATGCGTTGTTCAGCAGTGCTTCATTCAATGGGCTACTGCGCTGTTAGAACACACTCAACAGTTTCCGTTGGGGACCTATCCAGACATATTGTAAGTTTATGGAGATTCCGATCACTATAAACGCCAGACTCCATAAAAAAGTTTTAAAGACTCTACTGACTGCTTTTTAGATGAGGGTAATAAGGCAGACTATTTTTTTTAATTTTATGGTAAAGGTGATGTACAGACTGGTTGCAGTTATGTAAGTAAGGCAGTGAATACATTTCTTTTCCATCCGTGTTACCCTTCCCTCGTTTTCTCCCACTTCCCCCCTCCCCCGTCCCCCTCCCCCTCCAGTTGTAAGTTCCATCCTAGTGTCTGTGAGTACCACTGCTGCATCGGTTCACGGTTGTCTTTGTCTCACCATTGCATCTTATTGATGAGTTTGAGAGGGACTGAGAGATGGTGGGTGTTAGAAAGGTAATTACAGCAATGTAGTTAAAATGAAACGGTGATATTGCAGTTTTTACTAAATGAGGAAACCTATTCAACGATTAAAAAAGAAAGAAAAGCACTGATGTCTTTAACCCTATTCCTAGATAGTGTTTAACCTCACCAAAACCTTCCTAAGCTAGAAATCACACTTAAAAAAAATCTTTTCTCTTCCTCCTCCTCCTCTTCCTCCTCATTATTATTATTATTATTTCCATGTATAAAATGCTCCCTTGATTTAGTCTAACGCTAGGTCAATTAAGTATTTTTTTCTATTGTGATTGCCTTCTTCCTTCACATCAAGACTTCTGTAATTAACATGTAGTCACTCATACAGTGACATTTCATATTTCTGACTTTTATAAAGCAACAACACTGCTGTCAAACAAACATAACCACTTACTGGAGCCCAGGAATAGAGGCCAGGGCACAAAATAAAGGTCCAGCCTGGGCAAGGGTCGTATTGTCAACTGATTCTTTGACATCACTCCTTCCTCTTCTTTCATGGTCCTGTTTCAGAGTTGAACACGGGTCCACAGGAGGGCTATTTCTCTGAAGTCTTTCCTAATTTATCTTTTACATTTCTCTGGCTTTTGTAAGCCACTTGTGTTTCATTTAATTCATGACTTGGCATGCAAATAAGGTAGATTGTTTAGACATCTATTTCAATGAAAAGTTATGCAATTTCTTTTTATTTTTTTCAGTCGTGGGCCTCGAATTCTGGGCCTGGGAGCTGTCCTTGAGCTCTTCAGCTCAAGGTGAAAGTTCTATCACTTGATCCACAGCACCACATCTAGTTTTCTAGTGATAAATTGGTGATCAGAGTCTTGCAGACGTTCCTGCCTGGGCTGGCTTTGAACAGAGATTGTCAGATCTCAGTCTCCTAAGTAGCTAGGATTACAGGCATGAGCCACCTGTGCCTGGCTGCAATTTCCTATTGTGGTAAATAAAATCTTCCAGGTAGAATACCTTTCCAGAATCTGTCACATTTACTAATCTATAATAGTGTTTAAAGTCTTTCAAAAAGGATGTACTAATGCAGTTAGAACCTGCTGCTTTGATTTAACGTGGATATTTTACTTCACATGACCTGTTATTAAACATCTTTCTCTACATCTGGTATACTAATTTACTTCCAGCTATTTATCTGGTATAATCTACGACCTTATCCTAAAACTAGATTTTTCTTTAACATTAATGTCTGCTGTGATAATCAGAGCAGACATTTAGGAAAGGACAGCGGTCTAGTCCCCAACTCCAGCAAACAACAAGTGAACTGGATTTTAACTGCTCAGATCACCCAACTTTTATGTGCTTGGCCTTAGAAGTTGCTGTGTAAGATTAGCAGTGAATTCACGTGTCTTCCTGATGTGCGGTGAGTCAGGTTCTGTGATTACTTCTACGGACAGACAGATGAAGAGCCTAAGCTTCAGAGACAGCCACCCAGGTAGAAAGAAGCCCAGAGCTCAGGAAGAAGCACGTCCTCAGGGTCCTGCTGAATCCCGCCCTCTGCTCCGCCAGGCGCAGCTGTGGCTTTCAGAAGGAGGGGAGAACCTGGATTCTGATATTAAGGTCAGCCACACACAAGTGACTGACTGAGCCTCAGGTGAGGCCAGAGCTCCGCCCCTGTGCGCCACACAGTAGAATTTCTCCAT